CCAAGTGGAATTGCTTGGTGGAAACCACACTAACAAATTTTCACTATTCATTTTCTTTTTGGAAATCGTTGAATTTCTTAACTATACTTCAGCACTGCTCCATACAAAGCACAAGTTGGAACTGACTTGGGTACTCCTTTCAAGATCACACTCCTAGTATTAATCTTACTCAGCTCCAGATAGGGGCAAACAATTGTTTTTTAGAACTAACCTAGACCTAAGTAAGACTTAACTTCTCTATATTTTTCATTCCATTCAAGTACACTCTCGCTTTCCAAGCTGAAACAAACTTCAGTAAGATCTGTCCAAAGGCAAAGATCTACAATGACAATCTTACTTAGCTCTAGGTGGGGGGCAAACAATTATTTTTCTCAAACTCAACTTGGACCTAAGTAACACATTCTCCTTCGATTTCAAGCCAAGCATATCGAATGACCAAACCGAGCATCTATTCGGCCTTGTAGCTCCAATAGTGCTCGCCCGGGGGCAAACAGTAAAGACAAGACAAGCATTAGCATAAAAAAGCATCAGAGCATCAGATTACAAAAATTAACAAGGAAATGTTCCATCATTCAACCAAGGCACAGCTGGCCTCGCAAAAGTAACAATAAAAAGAAAAATTGTCTCAACAAGCATCAAAGGGGGCAACTCATCAGGAAGACCGAGCTCTAGTGTGTCAAAAACAAAAAAAACAAAAAAAAAAAGAGAGCAAACTTCAAGTTTTTTCAAACGAAAACCACTCTAACTCTCATTAACAGGAGGAGCTTCAAAGGTATCATTCACAATTTTGTCCACATCAGCTTGGGGTGGAAAAGTGGAGGTAGCTCCAACATCCTGGGAAACAGGAGCCTTCTTAACCACAACTCCCACAGCCTCAGTCTCCAAGTCCCCACTCCTTTCAGCACCTATTGTTTCACTGGCAACACCGCTCTCAGGAGTCTTGATTGCAGAGTCAATTCCTAGGGAAATCCTTGCTAGATGAGTGACAGGGGTGGCAGCTGCCTTCAGACCCAAGGACTTTGAGAGAATTGGAACGCTCTGAAACAAAGAGGAGTCTTCAGGAATTTGAGCAACAACCAAGGCACTCATCCAGCCCTTCAAGAAAAGCTTGTCATGAAGTACTAGCACCTCCTCCTTGTAAGCAGCTTCGGCTTTATCCCAGCCCTACTACTAGTGCTTGGCCTCAAAAGTTGAGCGTTCAATAGCCATCACTGTAATAACTGCCTCTAGCTCAGCCACTTTCCCTTCGAGTTAGGCCTGGACCCCGATAGTAGCTTCCTTGGACTTCTCAGCAGAAGCAACAACTTTGTTCAAACGGAACACCTCCCTCTCAATAGTCCTGCGTCCCTTCTTCTTGGCCTCTAAATTTGTTGCCAATCTCTCAACATTCATAGCGGCCTCCAGTACGGCCTTCCCTAGTTCCTCAACTCGGGTGATAGGCAGATGCATCCTCTGGATATCTTGCAACAAATAAACGGGTATCAAAGGAAAGAAAATGATAGAAACTAGAAAAGAACACAAAAAGAAATAAAGTAACACTTACAATAGTCATCATTTTAAGGGTTCCCTTTAAGATGGGGATGTCCCGAGGTTCGTTATGATCTGTCATATCCACTGGCATCAATAGGGTTTTAGTTAAATCAAAAGCGAAGTCTCTAGAAGTAACAACTGCGTCAGAAATAGAAATAGGCCTGCCCTGATGAAGCATGGGCGACTCCCATTTCTCAAAAAACTCATCCTCAACAGGATCTTCAAAAGCCTCTCCAACTATGGCCTTACCAGCCTCCCTCCTCGTCTTTTTCGCCCTTTCAGCGATTAAAGCAGCAGGTTTGATAGTAACGACAAAAGGGCTAGAGGCTCCTATCTCCAATTTTACATCCATAAGGCTCTTTGGTTCGGCCTTGGCCAGAGAAGCCTCTAGAATCGAAAAGGAGCCAAAAGCCTCTGCCTCCAAATCCACTAACACTCTTCTTTTTGACATTGATCCATCCCCTGCGAAACTGGGGACAGGAGAAGGTGTCCTCTTAACAAATAAACTTCGGCCACGGCGGCGGTTTGCGACTAGAGGGGCAGGGGGTGTGTCAATTTCAGTATCAGAATCGAGAAGGGATGCAGCAAGTTTTGTTTTTTTCGGGATTGCGGTTTGTATGTTGCTTGGTAATCCAATAGTTCAAGGTTGACCTTTTTTTGTATCTCAGAACGACCTTAATTGCCTCAAAGTTCTCATGGTTCGGCCTATGCTGAAAATGGGAAGCCTCTACAGAGATAAGGAACAACATTAGAACAACATTTAAATAAAACAAAAGTACAGAAATACTAGGGCATAGGACTCAGACCTGGGTAGCCATCTTTTTGGGGCATCTGCTCAGATTGGAACTCGGTCCTAGTAGAGAACTCCTAGTTACCACCAACTTGTAAGAAATCGTCGTTGTGTTTGTCAGAATCAGGGCCGGTGACAAGGTGACAGTTAGCCGAATGGACGCGGAGGTAATAGATGCTACGATCTTTATTATGTGAAAGGGTGTAACAACCCAAAATGTCCCATATGTCCAGGTTTAGACCCAACAACCTGTTAAAAGTGGAAACCCACAGACGACTTGAAACAAGTTTACGGACACTTGCATAGGGGTAAGTTGAACTTGGTGTAGGAAATGGCGTATTAAGGGATCAAAGGGAAACCGAACCCCTCCTTCAACAATGGCAGCGACGGGGAAAGCAATAGTGTTTTTGGTATCCATGCGCTTGGCATCAACACTCGCTAGCGAAAGGGTCACATCCTCAGAGATACCATAGTCACGGTAAAACAAGGCCATTGCCTCAGGAGTATCCACCAACGCCCGAAATTTTCCTATTATCTAGACCTAGTAGGGCAGGGACAAAACTCAACTAAACAAGAGATGGAACCAGTCGCCGAAAACAATGGCCCAAGGGCCAAAGATGGCGATCAGCATAGAAAAGCAAAAGAAAAGATAGGTTTCAAGGGAACTTACAGAGATTCAACAAAGGAACAGCGACAAACGGAGATCTTTGAGACTGGAACAAGGCAATAATGGCGGCAGGAGTCTGGACAGAGCACCGTTAAGACCAAGGTGAAAGAATGAAAAGGGTTTTGGGGTTTCCTGAAATTCAGAGATAGACAAAGGGGTTTGAATTGACACCCTAAGGGCAATTATTATCCTCAACCGGCGCGAAGGTACAAAATCATACCCGTCTTTATGGATTCGGCGCACTAATTCTGCACACCAGTATAGCACCGCTACGTGTTATCATGCAAAGTGCATGTGTTAGGATCGAACTGCCACCAAGGCCAAACTGGAATGGATCCGAAGCAACATGATGCTTGGGGTACCGGATAATAGCTCCCCCTAAGGGGATCCTTAGCGCGAGCTAGGGGGCAAATAAAGGGGCAAAATATAAACAGGTCGGATCCAAGCCTTAGGCCGGCCCAATCCTTTAAACCCAAGTCCAAGTGAGTCAAGTAAGTGTGAGGGTAAGCCAATCAAGCCCAACTTCATGATCAACAGTCCACCCTAAGTCCTCAAGCAGTTGGGCCCAACTTGCAGTGGAGAGGTCAGTCCAGCCGTGACGCTGGGCTAGGCCGAGCTATAGGACTCAATCTTTGGACCGAATTGATGGGCTGAACCCATCACCAAAAACCAAAATGGGCCGATCCCACACAAAGATATCTAAATGGGCCAGCCTATCTCTATAAGCAGTCTCACAAAGGGCCGAGCCGAGACACAACGGTACCGAGCTAAGAAAACCTCTCAGAAAAACGTAGAAGCTATAAATGTATGCATGTGCAGGCTGCCACCTTAATTGGTTCTCTCCCCCTAGAATCACGGAAATGGTTGATCAGGGAAATGTGTTCTATTATCAACATGAATACAACAAGTATATGCATCCATTGTCAACTACCTCATGGTCTCCTACCTTGAGCAATGTTAAAGGGAGCATGGCAGCACCAAAGTGTCATGAAACCATCTTGAGAAACAAATAAGGAGTTCTATATAAACTACAAGGACTTCACATTGAAGGTAACAAAGTTGAGCTACAATATACTCACTTGAACACATCTCTCTGCACTTAGAGAAAGCATTCCATCTTCTCCGATCACTTACTCTCACACCAGAGGGGTTATCCGGCCAACTTCGGCTGGGCAGCTCTAACTTCGGTTACTGTTGCAGGGTCTCGATTCTTGGATAGTCTAGTTGGGTGCGGAGCTCTGGTCCACAATCATTTAGTGCGGTATTCGGTACGCACAACTATCAAACTTTGTCTTCTTTTTTTTTTGGTTGAGAAAAATGCAATAAACCAAATATGATTATATAACTTTTTTTTTTTTTTTTGGTTATTTTACTGAGATCTTTGTGATTTCTCTCTCTCTCTCTCTCTCAACCCTTATAAGCACATATTTCTCCATCGAAGCTCCTTCTGCACCGGCGATTTCGAAGATTCAGATCGATTTCGAGATTCAGAGCGATTTCGAAGCTCCATCGTCACCACCGTCTGCACTGGCGAGGTAGCGAGTTCCACCGTCTCTCTCTCTCTCTCTCTCTCTGTCTCTCTCGATCTATGAAATCAATGTTTTAAGGCATTCTTACTTGATCCTCATTTGCAGAGATTCAAAGATGCAGTGATTCAGAGATTCAGTGATTTCGATTTCGAATTCGAAGCTCCATGCCACCACCATCTGCACCGGCAATTTCGATTTCACTAAAGTGAGCTCCACTGTCTCTCTCTCTCTCTCTCTCAATTTCCTCTTAAATTACTTCAAATTTTTTGTGGCTTCTCTTCTAATGATCTGAATCTTGTTTTTATTTTTTCATAGTCAAGTTTAAGCTCTGTTCCCTTCCCCTGTCATGTTTAGTTTTTAGTGTTTTGTGGTGCAATAGAATCTTGTTTAGAGGTTACACTGATTAGATGGTGGAGGATGCAAATGCTGTTATATTGACTTTTGGTTCTCTCTGTCTCTGTCTCTGTCTCTGTCTTTCTCTCTCTCTCTCGCTCTCTCTCAGTTTCCTCTCAAATTACTTCAAATTCAGTGCATATGCAGGATTTAGATTTTAGAGTTTAGTATTACAGATTTTTAACATTTTATTAGATAAGATTGGAGGATCCTCTACTGGAGTGTTTGCTTCCAAGGTAATTTCTTGTTTATTTTTGTGTGCTGTATTGTTACGATTTTCTAAAATTCTAGGTCCTGTGTGTTTTCCTTTCCATAGATCACTCAAGCAAAGGATGGGAAACCAGTCACTATTGAGCTTATCGATGCCAAGACAAAAGAACCGAAAGATACCTCAGAGGTAATTTTTAGTTCTGTTATATTGGTAGCAGATTTCATGTTCTATTAACAGAGCGGCGAAATTAAAAGGTCCTTTCCTTTGTGGATGTAATCAAGTAGTGGAATTGAGGTTTTTATTATATTTTTGCTCCCATGTAACAATGGTTCTCTGCTTTATGGAGTAAGCTTGAAAACCTAATTTGAGACAACAACTGACTTTTCTATCTTACTGTCTGTCCATGCTTTTTTATTTATCTAGTTTGTTGTACCGCACCCTTTATCACAAAATTTGGTTGTTTTGCTACAGGTAGATGCGGCATTTATCACAACGGGGTTTTGTTCTAGTAGATGAGCGTATGCAAGTTATTGACGCAAATGGAAACCTGGTTTGTTATCTATAGATTCCGTCATGAACACAATTTTCTGTATGGTTTTGCAACTGGTTCTTGAAACAATACTTCTACCATTTGGTTCCTCACTTGTATTGTATTGATGATGCAAATGAGAAAATGATTCTTGCTTATGCTGCCAGTGCACAAGGGATTTCTGGTATGTGGTTATTACCTTGCTATTTGCTACTTCAGGCTATATGCTTACATTTTACACCTATTGCATATTTAGCGTTGCTCTCTTCATGTAGTTGTTGAACAAGTCAGTGGAAAAGATCATGTGCTCAACCATTTGAGCATTCCAGCAGCTTGTTTCACTCACCTAGAAATTAGTAATGGTGCTGCTGTAAGATCTACAAAAACAGTCCTCTCTCTCTCTCTGCCCCTCCCCTGACTTACCATTTTTCTACATATAATTCTTATTTAAATTTTAACCTTTGGCAGGGTGTTTGGGGGTCAATCGTGCAATCTTTTGAGAAAGATCATATTTACCTTGGTGAGGCTGCTCAGCTAGTGGTCCACAATGTTAATTATGAAATGTGAGTGCTCTCATGATTGTCTACTTGGTTAATGCTAAATAATAATATTTTCTTGATGTTAGTGCGGCTTATATTATTGATCAATTATATTTCATATTTGAAGACCATATTAGAAAAATCAGGTCCAAAGGACTCAACAGCAACTGGCTGAACTAGAGCGCAAGGAAGCTGATATTAAAAGAAATGCAGCTCTTGCAGCAGCTAATTTGCAGAGGCTTGTCAAGAGCCAGGATTGCAGGTATGATCCTGCATCGCATGCCACTCTACTGATGATGTATATTCCTTCAAGAACGAACAAATTAAGTGTCAACTTTTGCTTTGCGGGGAATAAATGTGAGGTCAGAACTGTTAGAAACTGCAAAGTAGCCATACAACACAAATCAGATTTTAGTTACCTATTCTAGTTACCTTAGGAGAGATTTTGAGCACACCAGTTATGCTCATAGCTTGCATTTTGTGATTAGGAAGATCAAAGTAGCCATACAACACAAATCAGATTTTATACTTAAAGAGATCAACATAATTGTACCATAATTTAACTCAGAAACATCCTTCTTGTCCTAGTTGAGAATTCAAATGTTTTATTGTCACAACATCTTTTGTTGTCGAGGAAGATACTCTGCAACAGCAAGTCCTGAGGTAAAAGAGATTGAAAACTTGGAAATGGGCTTAGCTGCAAATAGGGAAAACAAAAAGTTGATTCCTCAGACTGGTAAGAGGTTCCATCAATATGTCATTAATATTTGTTCAAGTTCTTTGCAGCAACAAATTCTTTTTTTTTTTTCCCCCCTTCTTCTAAATAATTCAATTCTATGTTCTCCATCAGATCCGGTAGAAAATACATACAAGTCAGAACCACTTACTGATATAGTTAAATCCGAACATGGAAAAAGGAAAATCCCATCAGCTTCATCAGCGCTCTTTATTGGCAGCATCCTTGGACTCGTCCAAACCATTTTTTTAATTTTAGCAGCAAAACCACTGTTAAATTTTATGGCAGTCAAATCTGTAAGTACTATTGAAGAAGAAGTCTCTACGTGTCCTTAAATATCGCCACTGGTGATGGGCAATAATAGCAGGACGGTTTTCTTATGCAGGACTCACCTATGCTACAACCTGCACAACAATACTTGACATTAAGGTCTCTAGGTGCTCCAGCTGTCCTCCTTTCATTGGCCATGCAAGGAGTCTTTCGTGGATTTAAGGACACAAAAACTCCTTTATATGCCACTGGTGCGTAACTGATAATGATCTTCAATTTTATTTAAACTGATTTGGATAATTCAGCATATATTTAATCTTTTTTCTCAAGTCATTGAAAGAGACATGATTTTCCACCTTCTTTTGTTGGGTTTTTATTATTTATTTTTTGGCCTAATACAAACTTACTGTTTCATCCTTTCCAATTCAGTGGCTGGAGATGCGATGAATATAATTCTGGACCCAATATTTATATTTGTTTTCCATCTAGGTATCAGTGGTGCAGCCGTTGCTCATGTTATATCTCAGTAAGTCAAAATTTTATTGCTCTTCAATGTTGTGTGAGAATTTTCATACATTTGACTTACATTTGAATTGCTATATGTACAGGTACCTAATTTCAATTATACTTTTATGGAGATTATGGAAACAAGTCGATCTTTTACCTCCTAGTTTCAAACATATGCAATTCAGTCGATTTCTTAAAAATGGTGAGCTTTTATTTCACCAGCCATTTCTTTTCATTAGACTTTTACCCTATCTTCCATTTGCTTATCTGTTAATGAATTTCAGGTTTTCTATTACTAATGAGGGTCATAGCTGTGACGTTCTGCGTGACCCTAGCGGCCTCAAGGCCTGCACGTCAGGGAGCGACATCAATGGCCGCCTTTCAAGTGTGTTTGCAAGTTTGGCTAGCCACATCTCTTCTTGCTGATGGATTGGCCGTTGCGGGTCAAGTAAGAAGTGATCTTAAGTTTGTGGATGAAAAAGCTTAAGAATATAGAAACCTATCACAAGATAGGGCACAACCCACTCACATGAGGTGGAACGGCCTCGCACCAATGTGAGAGGGTTGTGTCCATTCTGTGACTGGTTTATGTGTAAATAGAACAAATGTTTAACATTGGGAGATGTGTCCTAAAATTGTCCCAATCGAGATCATTTGACTCAATTTCAAAGTAGAACAGTACTGCTTATATTTTATTTTTTTTATTATTATCATTTTTTTTTTTTTTGGTCTCAAGCCATTTCTTTGAATCTACTTGTCTAAAAAGCTTGTGTATAGTTCCCCTTTTTTTAGGCTATACTTGCAAGTGCATTTGCTAAAAAATACTGAACAAGCCAGAGCAACCACATCCCGAGTATTGCAGGTACTTGAACTATCCTTAACTTACAGTCTGATCACAGATTTTCCATCTGATATAATTTTGTTAGTGCCGTCAAATTGGCAGATCTAAAGAAGAATGCTGATGAGCAAGAAAGTCTGGTGTTTCCTACTTTAGCTCGTGACCTGGTAGTCCGAGGAGTAATATTACTATCAGTTGTTATGACTTTTTTTAATTTTTTAATCTTTTTTTGTTGCTTCTTGTATTTGAAATAGATAGTTTATTTGCATTGATGACTTATTCTTAACATTTTACAGCTATTAATTTTGGAATTATTAATCACTTTAAATTGTGTAACATGCACCGTTTGATTTGTGTGAATATTTTTTTTTTTGCACAATGATTGTGGACTATTATTTGATAAGATTTTATTATATGAATGGGTGTTATTATTTTATATTAGTGCCTATTTTTCAGTTTTATTATAAGTATTCTTTTAGTTCAATAACAAAAAATTAGCACAATTTAAAAAAAAAAAAAGAGGCTATCACGGCGTTTCTAAAAACGTCGCTAAATAGTTGGGAAAAAGAGACATGTCGGCGTTTTAAAAACGTCGCTAAATAGCATGGTGACGTCATAGTAGAACTTTTAGCGGCGTTTTTACGCCGCCTATAGTAATATAGCGACGTTTTAAAAATGCCATAGAGTTATAGCGACGGCCGCATCTTCGGCGTTTGATGCTAAACGTCATTAAAAGATTTGACGGCGTTTTTCGGACTTATAGCGGCGTTTTTTAAACGCCTCTAAAACCCTCTTTTCCAGCAGTTTTTCTAATGATGAAACATGTGCAATGGATCTTGAGCTCAATGATAATATGAAAATTATTGCCACACGAACATCAGGATTAAAATTCCATCCACCAGACAAATATGAGAATTGCTGTGATACAAAATGTCAGGATTTGAATTCCATCCACTATACATGAATCCGTTGCCAAAAAAATTGAATATCGACATATATTCTAGAATTTTTTATTCTTCAAATTGAAAAATTCTCTCTATTATATTCTGCTTCATGGTAAAAATTGAAATCATGACCCAATCTCATTGGTAGGTGCCTCTACCATTTTGATGGGAAGTTGGCATCAACTTGTACAGTTTTTTCCAAGAAATTCATTTTCCTGGAAAATAGGCCTCTTACACATATTCATCCATTTTAACTAATATCAGACTGAAAGCAACTCTATATGATGATATACATTGAATAAAAGTCGCTGAATTTCTGAAGTAAAATTTCAGAGTGAAAGCAACTATATGAAGAAAAAATGCAAAATTCCGCAGAATTTGAACGTAAATTATATTTTTTTACTGCGATTTGTGATTGAGTGTCACCTTCTTCTGTGATACATGTACAACCATGGACTCTGCTGTATCTGCTGAAATCAAAATTAAATATGATTGAGTTACTTTGAAGATGTCAAGTAATTTCCATTTAATTGATTAATTAATATAGACCTAGATCAATATATGCATTCGAGGGTGGTGAAAGCTATAGAGTTGAAAAAAATAGCACAATAAGTGTTCAAAAAATGAAATGTATGATATAGATTTAATTAATGTGATGTGAGTCACGTTCATAATAAATTTGGTCTACATCTTTTATGGATATATAATTGATTAGGCTATGAGGGCCTTCGGGCTAAGCCCAATCATATATACACGCCACGCCACATGGGGCCCATGACAGCTAAGTGGCCCATATTAAAGACTTTATAAAATTTAATGTGATGTGAGTCACGTTCATAAAAAAATTATTTTTGGTTTACATCTTTTATGGATATAGGAGGGTCTTCGGGCTGAGCCTAATCATATATGCACACCACCCTACATGGGGCCCATTACAGCTAAGTGGCCTATATTAAAGACTTTATAAAATTTAATGTGATGTGAGTCACGTTCATAATAAATTTGGTCTACATCTTTTATGGATATAGGAAGGCTTTCGGGCTAAGCTCAATCGTATATGCATGCCACGCCATATGGGGCCCATGACAGTTAAGTGGCCCATATTAAAGACTTTATAAAATTTAATATGATGTGAGTCATGTTTATAATAAATTTGGGGTATATCTTTTATGGATATATAATTGATTAGGCTAGGAGGGCCTCCGAGCTAAGCCCAATCATATATGCACGCCATGCCACGCCACGCCACATGAGACCTATGACAGCTAAGTGGCCTATATTAAAGATTTTATAAAAGAAACAGATAGGATAGATATAAGGTAAGCAATTCTCTAAATCTTAAATCCCTTTCTCTCTCCCTACAATATTATTTCACAACTGAACTGATTTAAGCATCGGATCGGCCTTGGCCGGCACGACACCAGTGCTCACGAAGACTAACTCTTTCTTTTCTTCTATGGCAAGTTATGATGTCAAGATCGAATCAGATGGATTTCAGTATCATCAATAAATTTTTATTTTTTGTTAGTTACTTTTCTAAGTCGATAACATTGCATATAAGATTTTACCAAGCATTCTTGAAATTGCATCAGCTAGCCTCTTTTGGCACTCAATGCACTGTACATCAGCTTCAATAACCACTTCCTGTACCTGTTTCAATTACCAAAATCAAAAAAAAAAATTCATCAACTTTGCATTTTCCTCATAATTTGCATAGTAAAAACCATAGCCATGAGTCACTAAACAATTATCTTTCAATACTCTCTTTCTAAGATATGTTAAAATATAAATAATAAAATTATTCTTCTCTAATAGCTCAAACTCTTAGATGAGATGGCGATCAATAATTTAATATAGTATATCTCATATGCAAGCATTGTCTATTTATTATTTAAGAATATTTACACATGTTTAACTTGCTTATCGTGAAAGAATGTATTAAGAATATAATTAAGAGAGACAACGATTACCTTGGGAGACTTGTGGGTTTTGAGTTGAGCTATCTCCTTCTTAGCCCATGAAATCAGAGAAGTCATGACTGTTGAGCACTTCTTTAATGCAAATTGCAAAGCCAAGCTAGATGTAGAAAAAGCAATGCTTGAATCCGAGGTTGAGTTCATTGTTCGCCAATTACCTACTAATAAAGAAGAGGGTGAGCATCTCCAATGGTAGTAGGCATTTTACCTATCTAAATATTACTATAAAGTATACATTTTATTTTGCCTATCAATGATTTCATGTTTCTACCCCAACCATACTCTTTATTTTAGCTATTCATCCAAATACTATTAACTTTATAGAATGTCACGTCAGTAACAAAGATGGAGGGAAATAATCTTAATGATTAAATACATTTTGCCTAGCCTTGAAGGCTAGCTACATGTAGCTAGTGAATGTGAGCTGAGCCAAAATGCCTAAGCATATGCCTATTGCATTGGAGTTGAAAAAAGTGAGTCACATTAGGCATTTTGACTAACAAGCATCATATGCCTAGTGGGTTGGAGATGCTCTCTATTCCTAAATCTTTATGTTCCCGTCACAATGCACTAGTAACTTCTACTTCACTAAAAATTTCAAAATGCAATAATATTAAGACAAGATTTAACATGATCCAATGAATATTAATAATTTGAGACAGGAGACAAAAAATTTTAAAAACAAAAAATCTTGTAACTATTAACGTGGACCTTTAAACAGTATAACCTATTATGGTTGAGAAATACCATCATGGTCACTAAAGTTGTAGGCTACCTATAATTGATTATAAAGGGAAAGTAGTAGGTCAATTGAACTTGATAAAGACGCTTCATTGCATAAAGAGTTCCACATTTCTTCCTTGCTTTTTTTAATTTATTTTTATTTTTTGAATTGGTCACTTCATTAAAAAAATGTGTGATGAAGGTTTCATTTAGTACTAGACATTTCCTTAGCTCTTGTGGTTCTCAATTCATTAGTAAACTCATATATTATGTGTGGAATTCATGATCTAGTTCATAGCTGAGCTGCAAATAGAACCAAGTGAAGTGTCATTGGTTGTGTTTTCATTTTTTATTTTTTTTGAAAAAATCTTTATTTGGTGAACTATTTTCAAAAACTATTTTCAAGAAATTCTCTTAAAAATGACTCACTTTTTAAGAAATATCAAAAAGTTATTTTCAAATTTTCAAAAAAAAAAAAGGATATAATTTCGAGAACTTTTTTTTTTTTTTTTTTGCACAAAAATAAAAATATAAAACGAAAAGGAAATCAAAACACAACCAAATAGATGTGTCACCAAACTTTATCTTTACTTATTATTGAAGTCTGACAAGGAGAAAAGCATAAATGCCCTCAAAAGAGGGCTGCAGGCACTGCAAATAAAGAAAGCAAGAGGGGCAAACTTTATAATCCTAATTGGCCACGAGTTTGAATCTCAGTGTGATTTGGATTTTTTGAATTATGTTTTTTGAAAATTGAATTTTTTAATTTTTATATTTTTTTGTTTTTAGTGAATATTTTTAAAATTTTAAATATTTTTTTACATTTTTAGATGCACCTTACTTAGATGTATCTAAAAAGTAAAAAATTTGTGAAAAAATATTTTTAAAAATTAATAAATACATAAAAATATAAAAAATGTACTGAATTCTTGTATTTTTTTTTGTATTTTTGGTATTTAGTGAATTTTTAAAAGGTTTTTTTTAATTTTTTTTACTTTTTAGGTATATTTATGTTAGGTATGTCTAAAAATTAAAAAAATTGCTCAAAATATTAAAAAAATTCAGTAAAAACAAAAAAATACGGAAAATAAGAAAGTAGAATTTTCTGAAAAGTATTTTTGAAAAATGATAACCAAGCATAATGACCACCTTTTTTTATTTGTTTTTAAGTAAGAGATTAGGGAGAATTATATTAAATTGGATGATTATATTGTAGCAATACATATCTACATAAGGAGAATTATATTAAATTAGATAATTATATTGTAACAATACATATCTATGAGTCTAACAATTCACACAAGAAATAGTTCATAATGAGCAAGAATCAATTCAATATGACGGAGATAAGAAAGTGTTCAAAATGGGAAGAAATAAATTTTAATAAAACAAAGACACTCAATAATTTGGGAAAACTAATTAATCTTGTATGTCCTAATCATGATGCTTAACCTGTGTCTTGTATATCGACGGATATGTATTAGTATTTGAAATTTTCAATATCCGTTATTTATTAATATATTGATGGTTATTGTCTGACATAGACTAATATTTGATTGTATCAGTAATACTGATACGTTATTCAATACCGTTGTTTAAAACCATGGTTATAAGGGATGCATTTGGTTCAAATTTCACCTGCTTCTCAAGTTTCATTTGGGACGAATACTAATTCCACTATTGCTGCCATGCAAACTTCTCTTATCTCATAGAACTCTTTTACTTTATTTCTTCATTCATCATAGAGCTAATAGGTTATGTGTGATAACCCTCACTTCTGATTAGTGCTAAACTGTGATTGAGCATGATAAATAATTGATTAAGCTGAAATTCTGAACTGATTGCATGAAAATATTGCCTAATTGCATTTCTATCTGTTTGTCATTAAATGATCTGTTCATGTTTTGATTTCGAACTGCGAATTGGCAGCCTTATCGGCAACTGAATCAGAAATTGATTAGTGTTTTATGCTAGTTAGAATTTATGTGATTTTATGGTAGATTTAATTAAAATTTGATTTGGAATGATTAAATTAGATTAAATAATGTTAAAACACATTAGTTTGAGTAAATTACCTTATTGCCATTAGTGGACATTTTTAGGCCATTAGTTAATTTCATTGTGATGCACTACTCTTCATCCATCTCCTAGACCAAGAACGTGGGAGAGAGAGAGAGAGACTTGAGGGAGATTGAATTCATCTAGATTTTGGCTTGGATTTAGAAGAATCAAAGGGAATTTTGAAGAATTGTTCTTTTGCTCATGGACCTTGCTTGAGTAGAGCTTAATTGAAGAGACTAGGTAAAAACTCAACCCTTTAATTTTGTTTTTGAGCCATCTAGAGCTTGTATAATAATGAAATAGGTGAGTTCATGGTTAATTGAGTTAGAATTTAAGAGTGTGAAGCTAATTCATGCATGCATGTACATATTCTTGCATTTTGAGATCGTTTTCATGGGAATTTCTTCATGCATGTTCATATTTTGGTAGAAGTCCATGAATTGGTCATGCTCTTGAGCTCAATCTTGCATTTTATATTGTTTTAGAGCATTGAAATTCATAGGAGCTCATGCATGTTATGTTCTTACTTAGTTCATGAAAGTTTCTTTGAAATTGTGTTCAATTGACTTACCCTTGGGTTTTCATTTTACAAATTGATCTTCAAAACATGTTATATTGTTAGTTTTCAAGTGCTTTCCATAAAATTGGCCTAAAAGGTTAAGTTTTGAGGTGTTGAATGCTTGGTTTGAACTTTGAAGGCAAATCTGGAAAATCCAGAATTTGGCTTATGCACTCAAAACAAACCATGCACATATACGTTAATAACCCACAACAAGTACAGTATCACAAAATCCTTTACAGACAGGATCATCCAAACTGAGTCAACCCATATCAAAACTATATACAGATGTACACAAAGTCCTTGCCAGCAAGACAAAATATAATTACATAACAAAATGGCAAGGATGGGTCTCGTACGTGAGACACAAGGCTGACTCTCCAAAACTCATGTTGTTCCTGGCAGGCTTCGCTAGGGCTGGGTTTGGACTTCCCTCGGCTCACCTACAAACACATGAATGAGCGTGAGCGATAGCCCATCTTCAAAACATGTTATATTGTTAGTTTTCAAGTGTTTTCCATAAAATTGGCCTAAAAGGTTAAGTTTTGAGGTGTTGAATGCTTGGTTTGAACTTTGAAGGCAAATCTGGAAAATCCAGAATTTGGCTTCCTCGCTCGAGTGAAGGATTCCAAGCTCGAGCGACCATCTTTTGTTCAGAGCTCCGCTCGAGCGACGAAATGCTGGCTCTAGCGTAGATTGCAAGCTCTCAGGTTTTTGTGCACGCAGACGCACACTTGAGCGACGAGACCTACGCTCGGGCGAGCATCGAGCGGGGATTTTCTACAACTAGTACTTTTGCATTTTTACAGATTGCTCGAGCGAAGGAGTTTACGCTCGAGCGACCTCACTATTTTGGCAAGCTCGCTCGAGTGAGACTCCTATTTTCAGCAAATTTTGAAAAGTGTTTTAAAGTACATCTTTGCATCCTCATCCCATCCTAGGCATTCATATGCCATGTTTAAGGCATCTTAAGGAGGATATTGATGTAGAACCACACCAAGTCAAGTTTTGGGGTTAAGCTATTAATCTCAAGTGTTTAACTTAGTTTGTGTTCATTCTGCAACTGTGTAGGGTTAGCACCCAAGGACGCGGACTAGCCTATCTGTAGCCCAGTAATCTGTGAGTAACAATGTTGTAAAGATACGTTCAATTATAACTCTTTCTGAATGATTGATTATACTACTTTCTGAAATGGCATCGTTTACTGAATGAATGTTTGTCCTATTTGTAAACTGTATTCGTGGCATCCATAGTAACTTACTGTTACTGTTACTGTTATTATTACAGAGATCTCTGTCGGTTCCAATGTTTGGAACTACTACTGTTTACTGTTATAATGGCCATCAACTGACTGTTCGGTCTGTCAAGACCTACTGTACTGTTTTGTTATTGGATGTACCACATATGACTATTATGGTTTCTGAATAACCGTTATGGCATGAAATATGAGCCACTAATTGAGTAACTGTTTTACTGATACAATTGACTGTTTCAATTACTGAAAGGACATTCATTCTTAACCCCTTTACGCATATGTTATTCACTGGGTTTTAGCTCACTGTTTATATTTATATGTAGGTGTCCAGGCACCGGGCTGAAGCTAGCAGCGTCAAGTTAAGCTCCCGTTTTGTCAAGCTAACTTTTGTGCCTCACATCGAAGTTCCAAGTGCATTCAAGCTAAGGTTGTCCCTGGGGTGTCTCAGATTCACTCCCTTTTGTGTCTGTTTTGTAATAGTTGAATAAGACTTTCTGACTGTACAGTAATGTTGAAGGGACTTGGTCCCTAACCAGGAAGTTATGTATATATATTTTAGTTATGAATGTAGCTTGTGCATAAAAGTCTTTGTGCATTCAAGTTTTCACAGCTCATTGGACATCTTTTGTTTACTGTTTTGGCTTCTGCCAATCCCTCTACTCTGTATTATTGTCATTACTATTAAGCAGGCCTTTGGTAATCACGGATTACTGGTCGGTTACGATGCTAAACCCATAGGAGCGGGTTTGGGTCGTGATATTATGTGAGTTTTTGGGAAGTGAGTTTTTATGTAGGTTTTTTTAGTTGTAGGATATTATTGGAGAAATTTTTTTTTGTGTTTGGAAAGATAATTTTTTTTGTGATTGGATGTGATGTTTGTGAGAAAAAAAGTGAAATGATTATGGGGTTGGATGTGATATTTTGTTTGGATGTGTTTTTTTTTTTTTTTTTGCAAAAAGTTTGTCTTTTTGTGAAAAAAAAAAAAAACCCAAGTCCCAAACTTCCCAAACACCACCATCTCTTCTTGGACTAAAATAGTCACAAAAGATAAAATATGTTAAAAAATCAATAAGATAAAATGTCACATCTAAATTAGAATCAGTTCATTTTTTTCTCTCACAAAAGTAAAAAAAATCAAAAAATTTATCCCAAACAAGATTTCTTAACCTCCAACTTAAAGATCTAAAAAATTAAAAAGTTAACTCACATGCCAAACAAACGCATAATGGTTCAAAAAATAAAAACATGAATAATCACTTGTGTCTGATCGAGGTGATGAAAGATTTCGAATTCCTTTATTCATTTATTTTTTGTTGAAATATTCTTAGTAAGAAAACGTGTAAGTAGGGGTTATTTGGAGTGTTTTAAATAAGTATATTTTTTGTCTTTTTAAACTAAAAAATTGAGGAAAAAAATATGGATATTTGAGTTAACTTTTTAACTTTTTATAAAAAAATGTGTATTAAAAAATTATATAAATTAGTGTGTAGAAAAAAATTAAGATTAAAAATGATACAGCTGTAATTTTTAAATTTTGATAAATAGTGATAACTTTTTAACTTTTTAAATAATTTTTTAACTTTTTTTCAACTTGTCAAACTTACCCTAAATAAATTGTGAACTTTACACGTTTTCTTTCTTAAACACACAAGACTTTGTTCCACCCACAAAAGTACAAAGACAAAAACTTGCATTCCATTTGGTTTTGAGTTTTCTATTTATTTATTTATTTGAGTTTTTAATCCGTACTTCTTTTAATTTTTTGTGAATTTTTTAAATATTTCATTTATTATTATTATTATTATTATTATTATTATTTTAAACTTTTTATATCCACTTAATCTAGATATATGTTTAAAAAGTACAAACTTTGTGAATATTTTTATACACTAAATACTAAAAAATACATAAGAATACAAAACTTCGATACATTTTCATATTTCTTTTTTGTATTTATTGAATTTTTTAAAATTTTCTTAACAAATATTTTACATTTTAAGTACATGTAAATTAGGTGCTTCTAAAAAATGACTAAAATATTAAAAAATTTTACTAAAAAAATGAATTAAAAATTCAAAACCAAATAGTTTTTGAAGCCAAATATTGATCAAATTTGATTGTTATATTATAACTGTTTTTTATTGACCATATCTACAATACACTGTTTAATTTCATAATATGTTTTTCATGGAATTCAGCTTCTCCTACAGTTACTGTGGCACCGAGACCCACTATCATGGGCTTAGGTTCGGCCATAGTGGCGGTGCAAAGTTGAAGATGGAAGGGCACTTGGTAGTGCCAGCGGCGGGAGTGGTGGTGGAGGCTATAATTTGGTTTCTCTTAGACAAAGTATTGCATTGAGTATTGTGACATCAGCTCTGTTTGGTAGAACAGTGGGAAATTGTTTATAACCTATGTCTTAATAACTTATAGTTTATAACTATGAACATAAGCTGATTTCTGACTTATAAATTAAGTTTCTCCTGTCCCACTCAAAGAATAAGCTGATTTCTGACTTACAAAAAGGTGTAAGCTGCATTGTTAAGCTAAACCAAACACATCAAAATAACTTAAATTAAGCTAAAATAAATTGAAAAAAAACTGTACCAAACAGGGCCATCTAGTTTTATTGTTGCAACAGAATTCTCATTTGGGATTAGATGTCGCTCTAATTGATGACGACTAGTTTGAATTCACTAGGAAAAGATGAATTTTCAATAGAAAAAATTAATACTAATATTGATCAAAAGTTCAAAGCACTAACAAAAAAATTTCAAATTTAGCGAATTTGAGTTAAACCCAAATTTGAATACTAGTCTCGCTACGTCTCCTAATTGAAGCTTATAATTTCATCCCAATAACGTGGCTAAAACCCATATGAAACTAATCCTCCCTCTTGCATCTACAGCCCCCCGTAATTCCACATAGTTGGAGGTAGAATTGGGACAAAATTAAGAGATTAGTAATTTTTCATTTGAATGCTAAAAGACATTATAAACATGTCAAGAGACCGTGTTAAAAATAGACATTCCAAACTATAGTTATTGCTAAAATAAAACTTTTCATATATAAATGACAAAATCACATATTTAAAGATCTAAATAAAACAATTTGACTAAAATTAACCGTCCAATTGTTACATAACCATTGTCACAGCTTTCTTGTTATGCAAAAGAGACGCAAGATGTCTCAATAAAGACTTGATGCAAGATTTAGGGTTAATCCTATCTGTATAACAATGTTATCTAAGATTACATAATATTTGTTACAAAACTATGTAATATATCTCCGTGCCGAAGGAATTTCCGTAAACAAAACATAACATTTGATTAATTTAAAACAGTAGACTTCTTATGCAAAAAGTTTATTGATCCTATTGAAAATTGTAAACCTCACTAACGTGTACCATCAAAAAATTGTGTAATGTAGTCAAAGATTAGGTCAATAAAATGGGACTGAGATTTGCTTGTTGTGATCAGTTGTTTGTAACACCACCTCTTGATCAAAGCTCTAGAATGAGCTTCGGGTATAGTCTTACAACAACTTTAAATATATGCTTTGGTTTTAAAATTTTAAATTAATTTCTAGTTATTTTTTGAGTGAATAGATTTTTTTTTTTTTTTTTTAAATTTCTATCTTGTCTTATCTCAAGAGCAGGTGGTGATTGTGCAACTGAAATGAAACTAATTGATCCGATAAAACATTATTACGTGTTATAACTGTAATTTTTAAAATGAACCATTTATATCCCTTTAATATTATTATAATAAAATCACATGAGTAATGAATCTAACATTTTAAAAATAAATTATTTATTCTTTTCAATATTATTATGATAAAATTTATGAGTAATGAGCCTAACAAATTATAAAATGGATAGAGGCCGAAATGGAATCCAAACAAAAACCAATTGCCAAGTTTCCGAATTGATAGCAGTGGGAATCATGAATTTGTTTCTAACCATTGGTTGTGAACCACCCCAACATACTTAATCCTCCCAGCATGTTAATTTGGTATTTCTTTTGTGAAAATGCTAAAAACACCTCTCAAGTCTGTTATTGTTAGTTTTGATTAAAAATGTAAAACTTATATAAAAATATATAAAACTATTTTGAAATATGTGAAAAAGTATTGGACTGATAAATATTGTCATTTTATGATTCTTAAAGACTAAGGCCTTGTTTGTCATCTACTATATAATCTATCTTTTTATCTTTTTATCTTTTTTCCATCACATCACCTCTCTACTTTTCTGCACATCTTTTCGTAAAAAGACAAAAAGTGCACTTTTTTAGGACACCCCAAACCAGCCCTAATTGTCATTAGTAAGACACTTTTTGTCACACTTCAAACCTGCCCCTAAAAGTTTCGAGCATGACTTATTTAGAAACGGACACTTAACCTGATATACGTAATATATGAGGCCTGAACGGAAGCATTAATAATATAAAACAACATAAAACATCATCCATTGAGCTACCACTACCATGCCAGGGCCGCAAACATTGCATTAGGTAGATAGTATACAGGAGACATACACCCGAGCTTCAATTACAGTTATTCATATTCGTACACAAGTATTACAGAAGAAGGGGTTATATACATTCAATCATAGGTAAACAACCAAAGTGTAAGCCAAAACTTAGTAAGACTTTGCAAAATGCACGGGTTTCATCTTAAGTGCCTGGACACACTGAGGCTAACAAGAGAGGTACAAGCCTTAAGGGTTAGGACTGGCCTCCCGGTTGATTACCTACAGAAATAGACAAAATACAGAGTGAGTAAAACTCAATGAATAATAGCACATAAATAATGTAATGGTTAACTTAAACAGCAAAGTATATCACTGTAGAGGCATATGATGAATTATATTCTGTAGAACGGCCATGGGCCCAATTTCCTTAACAGAGTGGCTTTAAGCCCAGTAATATACAAAACGGTCATAGGCCTAACAGATACAGAACGGCCATAGGCCCAGAATTATCAGAACGGCCATCGGCCCAGAAATAACAGAACGGCTTATCAGCGCAAAAATAACGGAACGACCATCGGCCCAGATCACATATGTATGGATTCCAGAGGTGGCTTGTACGGATTCCGTACAGCACTTTGTTCCGAACAGCACTTTGTTCTATACCAGAAATAATAGGTCTTATCATGTCATGGCATAGACGAAACAAACAACAAAACAGAATAACCTCAGATATCATCAGAACAGACTAGTTTCAGAGTTATACAGAGGCACACAGATTCTTCCAATCATTTACATGAGTTAATGTAGTTAGTTTACATTTAACAGAATACTAATGATAATTATTAGCAATAAGGATAGCGTATCCCACAGATTATACACGTGCCATCACAATACTATTTGTAGGGACAGAACAATTTACCTCAAAACAGTCTTGATTCATCATTGACAAAATAGAATGATTCGGGATACACAAGCATCATTGTTCCACTTGATCATCATGAATCATTAAGGTTAATTTACGGATAACAGAATATTAATAAAATGTCTTTTAACGGTAAGCAAAATGCACTACTATAGTATTATCCAATTATCCAATTATGCTAATCCTCTTTAGCGGATATCTTTGTCACAAGACATATA